GGATGGAGCTGGAGGCCATTATCTTTAGCATACTGACACAGGAATAGGAAAGCAAACATGGTATATCCTCACTTATAAGTGGGAGCTAAATGATGAGAACTCATGCACACAAAGAGGAGAACAACAGACGCTAGGGCCTACTTGAGGATGGAGGCAGGAGGGAGAGGAGCAGAAAAAATAATTATTGAGTACTAGGCTTAATACCTGGGTGATGAAATAATCTGTACAACTAACCCCTGTGACACAAGTTTACCTATATAACAAAACTTCACTTGTCCCCCAAACCTAAAATAAAAATTATTTAAAAAGACACATACACGTGTATGTTCATTGCAACACTGTTCACAGTTGCAAAGACATAGAATCAACCTAAATGCCCATCAATGGTAGACTGGACAAAGAAAATGTGGTACATATACACCACGGAATATTATGCAGCCATAAAAAGGAACGAGATCATATCCTTTGCGGGAACATGGATGGAGCTGGAGCCTATTATCCTCAGCAAACTAATGCAGGAACAGAAAACCAAATACTGCATCTTCTCACTTATAAGTGGGAGCTAAATGATGAGAACACATGGACACATACAGAGGAACAACACACACTGGGGCCCATGGGAGGCTGGTGGGTGGGAGGAGAGAAAAAATAACAAATTGATACTAGGCTTAACACCTGCGTGATGAAATAATCTGTATAAAAAGACCCCATGACATGCCTTTACCTATGTACCTGTGTAACAAACCTGTACATGTACCTCTGAACTTAAAATACAAGTGTTTTTTTTCTTCTTCTTCTTCTTTTTTTTTTTCTTTTTTTTTTTTTGAGATGGAGTCTCGCTCTGTCGCCCAGGATGGAGTGCAATGGTGCTATTTCGGGTCACTGCAAGCTCCACCTCCCGGGTTCACGCCATTCTCCTGCCTCAGCCTCCCAAGTATCTGGGACTACAGGCGCCCGCCACCACGCCTGGCTAATTTTTTGTATTTTCAGTAGAGACGGGGTTTCACTGTGGTCTCGATCTCCTGACCTCGTGATCCACCCGCCTTGGCCTCCCAAAGTGCTGGGATTACAGGCGTGAGCCACTGCACCTGGCTACAAGTTTTAAAAAGTAAATAAATTGCTTATTTGCTTTTTTTTTCTGTAGAGATGTGGTCTTGCTATGTTGCCCAGGCTGATCACAAGCGATCCTCCTGCCTTGGCCTCCCAAAGTGCTGGGATTACAGGTGTAAGTCACCATGCCCAACCTGGACGATCCTTTAAAATATGTGTTTTGTGTATACTTTGTAATGTGCAATATATTATCCCAGTAGTACATGTTGGGTGAACCATATGAAATTGCCTTTTTTGTAGGTTAAAAATGGTAAAACATCAGCAATTTCAAATGGCTCAACATAACATATAATTCATAAGTGAATATATGTTAGGGGGCGGGCACACATTTTTAATTTTGTATTTTTTTGAGACAGTCTTACTCTGTTGCCCAGGCTGGAGTGCAGTGGTGCAATCATAGCTCACTGCAACCTTGAACTCCTAGGCTCAAGGCTCTTGAGTTGCTGGGACTATAGGCACACACCACTGCACCTGGCTAGCTTTTACATTTTTTGTTGAGAAGGAGGTCTCCCTCTGTTGCCCAGGCTGGTCTCAAACTCCTGGGCTCAAGTGATCCTCCTGCCTCAGCCTCCCAAAGTGCTGTGATTACAGGTGTGAGCTACTATGCTCAGCTACATTTTTTAAGTGAGAGGGATACATGATCAAAACCCTGGAGCTCTTAGGTTTCAGACTTTTAGTTCATTCATGTAACTGCAAAAATCAGAGAGCTAAGGAGGCCCCAAGCTCACCATATCCTTGCTATCAAAAATATCTGACCCACAGTATATGTGATTCCATTGCTAGCCACAGCTAAAGTGCCTTGTTTTGTATTTGCACTAAGCTGGCCAGATTCTAAGTAATTTAGAATTAATGTAATGTGAAACTATCATACAGCATATATGTATGTATTTTTTTTTCATACAGCATATATTAACTTTTTTGAGCAGGGTCTCTTTCTGTCTCCCAAGCTGGAGTGCAATGGTGTGATTTCAGCTCACTGCAGCCTCAACCTCTCCCGGCTCAGGTGATCCTCCCACCTCAGCCTCCCAAGTGGCTGAGACTACAGGCAGGTGTCACCACACCTAGCAAATATTTTGTATTTTTAGTAGAGACGGGGTTTCACCACGTCCAGGCAGGTCTTGTCCTCCCCTCAAGTGATCCACCTGCTTCGTCCTCCCAAAGTGTTGGGATTACAGGAGTGAACCACCTTGCCTGGCACATGCAGCATATTTTAAACTCTGGAGGTTGATGCCATCAGAATTTGGAGTATGTTTGGTTTATTTAGGATAAACTCATTATTGGACCAGTTTTATTTGTCGATAAAACTGATTTACCAAGAAAACTCAACAAAGTCAGATGTGATTATTTGGTTTTTATCTCAAGCATCACATGAAGGAATAAGGATAAGACTTCTAGTATTTTTCTGTGATCCAGTAATTTTCTGCGAAAAAGCCAGCAAAACTAGGGGTCATATTAAATCCTTTCTGAAATTCACCCAGGTTTAATTGTTTTTAAGTCTGAAAAGATGTACTTTAAACAAATAAAAGAAACAATAAAATACAATTTTTAATTTTTAAAAGAAAAAGCCAAATTTGTTCAAAAACCAAAAAAGTAAACATTTTAAAAGAAAAAAAAAAGGCCCAGAAAAGAAAAACACAAAAAGAAGAATTTTTCAAAAGACTGAAGCAATAAAAAACAATTGATGTTTGTTTACCTTTAGACAAAGGAAAGGGAGAACAGCAGAATGTGATTTTACTTTGCAATGTGTACTTTCTATAGTGCTTGGATTGCTAAAAGTATTTCCGTTCATTACTCCTACTTTTTTTTTTTTTTTTTTTTTTTTTGAGGCGGAGTTTCGCTCTGTCGCCCAGGCTGGAGTGCAGTGGCCTCCCGGGTTCACGCCATTCTCCTGCCTCGAGACTCCCGAGTAGCTGGGACTACAGGCGCCCGCCACCTCGCCCGGCTAGATTTTTGTATTTTTTTAGTAGAGACGGGGTTTCACCGCGTTAGCCAGGATGGTCTTGATCTCCTGACCTCGTGATCCGCCCGTCTCGGCCTCCCAAAGTGCTGGGATTACAGGCTTGAGCCACCGCGCCCGGCCTACTCCTACTTTTTAATATATTAGGCCTAGTTTGGTGGCTCATTCCTGTAGTTCCAGTGCTTTAGGAGGCCTAGGTGAGAGGACAGCTTGAGGCCAGGAGTTCAAGAGCAGCCTTGGCAACATATTGAGAACCTGTCTCTACAAAAAACATATTTTTAATTAACTGGGTGGCTGGGCACGGTGGTTCATGCCTGTAATCCCAGCACCTTGGGAGGCCGAGGTGGGTGGATCACCTGAGGTCAGGAGTTCGAGACCAGCCTGGCCAACATGGTGAAACCCCATCTCTACTAAAAATACAAAATTAGCCAGGCGTGGTGGCACATGCTAGTAATCCCAGCTACTCAGGAGGCAAAAGCAGGAGAATTGATTGAACCTGCGAGGCAGAGGTTGCAGTGAGCTGAGACTGTGCCATTGCACTCCAGCCTGGGCGACAAGAGTGAAACTCTGTCAAAAAAAAACATTGCTGGGCATGGTGGCCCACACCTGTCATCCTACCTACCACGAAGGTTGAGGTGGGAGGATTCCTTGAGCCCAGGAGTTCAAGGCTGCAGTGAGCTATTATTGAGCCACTGCACTCCACCCAGGGATAGAGCAAGACCCTGTGTCTAAAATTTTAAAAAATAAAATAGAATACTGACATAAAATATTAATAGTTTATAATTTTAAAAGCATTATTTTTAAAAACCATGAAAAACCAAAAAACCTTAAAGCAGGGACTATTTAATTCCAAAAATGTCTTAAGCAAAAAAGGTGATTATCAAATATTCTTTCAAAATATTTATTTCAAGTAGAAATCGATATAATGTACTACATACAGGGAGACACCACATGTAAGATAAGTAAGTCAAAAACGTTCAGGAATACACATTTATCATCAAAATATTAAAAACTCAAAATAATTTTACATTAGATGCTTTAATTAAAAATAGTGTTCATGGGTTAAGGGTAGGGTTAAAAAAATAAAAAATTTAAAAAATAGTGTTCATCTATTATAATAACAAGCCCCAAACAGTCACCAACTAAGAGTGAAGGTTCTACTCCCTATAAATTCATACACACAGCCCTTATACAGTCATCACATACATTTTTATCTAATTGTCTCCTAAAAATCCCTATCTTTTTGTTACTCTTTTTTTTTTTTTTTTTTGAGACACAGTTTCATTCTTGTTGCCCAGGCTGGAGTGCAATGGTGCGATCTCAGCTCACCGCAACCTCCGCCTACTGGGTTCAAGTCATTCTCCTGCCTCAGCCTCCCGAGTAGCTGGGATTACAGGCATGCGCCACCACGCCGGGCTAATTTTGTATTTTTAGTAGAGACGGAGTTTCTCCACGTTGGTCAGGCTGGTCTCGAACTCCCAACCTCAGGTGATCTGCCCGCTTCGGCCTCCCAAAGTGCTGGGATTACAGGCGTGAGCCACCATGCCTGGTCCTTTCTGTTACTGTTACGGGAATTATTTGGTGGGTTAAAAAAAATTTTTTAATAAATACCTTTTTTTTTTTTGCCAGGCTCAGTGGCTCATGCCTGTAATCCCAGCACTTTGGGAGGCTGAGGCGGATGGATCACCTGAGGTCAGGAATTCAAAACCAGCCTGACCAACATGGTGACACCGAGTCGCTACTAACAATACAAAAAATTAGCGCATGCCTGTAATCCCAGCTACTTGGGAGGCTGAGACAGGAGAATCTCTTGAACCCAAGAGGCGGAGGTTGCAGTGAGCCAAGATTGTGCCACTATACTCGAGCCTGGGCAACAAGAGCAAAACTCTGTCGCAAAACCAAATCAAACCAAACCTTTTTTTTTTTTTTTTTTCTAAATGCTACTAAGCAACTGCATCTACCCTTGGATGATAGATTAAAATGGGGTTTAATATCTAAATTATTTTTACAAAAGCAGAAAGAGCTAAATAATGAGTCTCAGGTTAAGTAGGAGGTGGAGTGGGTGACTAGGAAGAATCCGTCACCTGATCAGCGAGTGACAGTGCTCGAAGGAGCTGTGAAAATGGGCTCTACCAGATAACAACTCTGTTGACACAGACCTTCTCTTTGTCCTGGAATCCTCTCTCAAAGGTATGCATGAGTGCACCAAAAACGAATCGCCAGGAGAAAGAAAAGTAAAAGCTGACTCTCTGCCCCGAGTAGTGTGCGGGCCAGGGGCTGCCCGAGAAGTCTCCAGCCTCTGTACACTCAGCAGGGATGCGCGGTATCCTGGCTCGGGTGTCCCCAAGAGAACGTTGGGGCAGGTCCCAGAGCAGGGCCCAGGAGACAGAGACAGACTCATTTGGATGAGGAGCACTCGCCGCCCCTTGAGGAGTCGCCATGAGGGAGCGGACCCTCCCCCCAGGAGTCACCCCCTCCGGAGGATCGCTGCCCTCAGTTGACGCCCTGGTCTCTGCCGTTTTCCTGCAGACTTCCCGCCTCCTGGGGCGGAAGATGGAGGGGCGGGGGTCCTTCCTCTGGCTCTTCAGCTTCCGAAGCAGACTCAGTGGACTCATCGTCGTAGAAGTCAATCGTGGCTTGCACTGGGAAACTGGCCAGCACTTGCTCCCCGGAGCTCTGCAGGTATTCTTGACGCTTTGACATGGGTAAATAGACTCTAATATTTAAGAAACAAATACACCATTAATCAACCTGAACCTCCTCCTCAACCCCTTCTAGAGGATGCTTTTTCCCAGAAGCAAAGAACTTCCCAGTCTTCCTCTCTGGTCTTTGCCTTCACAACACACAGAATTTAAGCCATCAGAAAAGAGAACTGTAGGCACCTATTGGAGGGACCTGGTGATAAACCTATCCCAGTTCACAAGTGAGTTATAATCTGACCCAGCCAGTCAATTTAGACAGTCGCAAGGAAAAGGGTGTGCTTCAAGGAAGGTAAAAGGCAACTGAAAACATTGAATTCTAAGATTAGGAGGCTCACTGTGATCAAACAGGGGACTTGACTCTTCTTGGATAATTGATGTCCCACTTAAATGAAGCCCCACTCTCCCACCCCACCGTCTGTCCCCTGCAGCATGGGAAATGCTGTAACCCCTTGGGTTCTGGAGGAAATTTACTCTGACATCTCTGAAACGCTGGTCTAGAGAAGCAGCTAAGTTTTCCAGATGTTGCCATAGAGAAATTGGAGGCACAATTCCCTTGCTCTGCCAGAATAAAAAATATGTGCTGAGGAAAAAAGGAAATAAAAGAAAGAGAAAGAAAAAAGAAAGTACTTAAGTATGTAAAATTTGGAACCCCTAAATTTCAAGTTTTTATAGAATTTTGGATTTACTCATACATGGCAAGTATTAAGATATCCCCTCCCCATATCTTTTTTTTTTTTTTTGAGAGGGAGTCTGGCTCTCTCACCCAGGCTGGAGTGTAGTGGCGTGATCTCGGCTCACTGCAACTTCTGCCTCCTGAGTTCAGTGATTCTCCTGTCTCAGCCTCCTGAGTAGCTGAGATTACAGGCACCCACCACCACGCCTGGCTAATTTTTGTATTTAGTAGAGACGGGGTTTCACCATGTTGGTCAGGCTGGTCTCGAACTCCTGATCTCAAATGATTCGCCCAACTCGGCCTCCCAAAGTGCTGCGATTACAAGCGTGGGTCACCACTCCCGGCCGTAATCTCTTATCCTTTACTTATTTCCTTTCTTCTTTGTTTTTGAGAAAGGGTCTCACTCTGCCACCCAGGCTGGAGTGCAGTGGGGCAATCATAGCTCACTGCAACCTTGAACTCCTGGGCTCAAGCATCTCCCACCTGAGCCTCCTTAGTAGCTGAGACTACTGGTGCATGCCACCACATCCAGCTAGTTCTTTACATTTTTCATAGAGACAGGGTTTAGCCATATTGCCCAGGCTGGTCTGTCACTCCTGAGCTCAAGTGATCCTCCTGCCTCAGCCTCCCAAAGTATGAGATTACAGGTGTGAACCACCATGCCTCGACCTGCTTTTCATTCATTATTTGCATTTTTCTCTGTAGTCTTCTGAGGAAGTAAGTTTGTCAATTGATCACTGCTTATTTGCAAAGCTGATTTCAATATCCTTTTTTTTCAGATAGAAGAGAAAAGGGAGAGAGAAAACACCCTTCTATAAATAATGGATGGTAGTTTTTCACTTCATAAGATATCCAATAGACCAGTGCTGCTCGGCCTCCAGGGGACGTCTGGCAATGTCTGGAGACATTTTTGATTGTCAGAACTGAGAGGAAGCTACTGATGTTTAGTGAGTAGAGGTCAGGAATACTGGTAAACACCCTACGAGGCCCAGGCTAGCTCCCACCATGAAGAATTATCCAGCCCAAAGTGCCAACAGTGCTAAGGTTGAGAAATTCTGCAACAGACAGAATGTGTATATTCATCTAAGACAGAAATATGAGCATAGTTCCATTTTTAGCCATGTTTACACTTAGGTATTTATACTGAAGTATTCACAGGTGAATTCCTAGCATGTCTGAGATTTGCTTTAAAAAATGCTGGGGTGGGACACAGTGGCTCATTGGCTCATGTCTGTAATCTCAGCACTTTGGAAGGCCAAAGCAGGAGGATCAATTGAGCCCAGGAGTTTGAGACCAGCCTGGGCAACATGGCAAAACCCCGTATCTGAAAAATACAAAAAAAAAAAAAAAAAAAAAAAAAAAATTAACTGGGTGTGGTGGTGTGCACTTGTAGTCCCAGCGACTCAAGAGGCTGAGACAGGAGCCTGGGGAGGTGGAGGCTGCAGTGAGCTGCGATGACACCACTGCACTCCAGCCTGGGCAACAGAGCAAGACCCTATCTCAAAATAAAATAAATAAAATATGCTAACAACAACATAGTTGCGGGTGATGAATATGATCAGCTCAGACCGTTGATAACTATTGAGGCCGGTGATGGGTACATGGGGTTCACTCTACTATTTGCTCCACTTTTGTGTATGTCTGAAATTTTCTGTAATAAAAATATAAAGTGAAATTGTATATCCAGTGTGCACTGTATGGCTGCAGCTCATGCTATGTCAGTCACAGCATTGATAACCAGTCAAAAACAGGGTGGCCGGGCACAGTGGCTCACGCCTGTAATCGCAGCACTTTGGAAGTCCAAGGCGGGTGGATTACCTGACATCAGGAGTTCAAGACCAGCCTGGCCAACATGGTGAAACCCCGTCTCTATTAAAAATACAAAAATTAGCCGGGCATGGTAGCGCCTGTAGTCCCAGCTACTCCAGAGGCTGAGGCAGAAAAATCGCTTGAACCTAGAAGGCAGAGGTTGCAGTGACCAAGATCGTACCGTTACACTCCAGCCTGGGTGACAGAGCAAGACTGTCAAACACAAAAAACAGCAACAACAAAACAAAAACGGGGGCGGCAGCAGTGTGTCTGTGAGGCTGGCTGTGGGTAGGTGGTGCAACTGGATGCCTGCAGGGCATGAAGCAGGGTGGTGACTCTCAATCCTGGCTGCACATTAAGACCCCCTGGGGAGTCTGTAAAAATACAAGCCAGGCCCAGTGGCTCACGCCTGTAATCTCAGCACTTTAGGAGGCCAAGGTGGGTGGATCACCTGAGGTCACGAGTTTGAGACCAGCCTGGCCAACATGGTGAGACCCGATCTCTACTAAAAATACAAAAAAAAAATTAGCCGGGCAGGGTGGCACCCACCTGTAATTCTAGCTACTTGGGAGGCTGAGGCAGGAGAATCGCTTGAATCTGGGAGGTGGAGTTGCAGTTGAGCCAAGACTGCACCACTGCACTCCAGCCTGGGCAACAGAGTGAGACTCCATCTCAAAAATAAACAAACCGATGCCTGGGTCTTTCCCTAGAGCAAGTGAATCAGAGCGCCTGGGAGAACCACCCAGGCATCTGTATTTTTAAAAGCTCCACTAGTAATTCTATGAGGATTGAAAACCATTGGTGTGGCCAGTAGTAGTGGCTCATGCCTGTAATCCCAGCACTTTGGGAAGCCTAGGGAAGAGGATAGCTTGAGCCCAGGAGTTCAAGACCAGTCTGGGCAATATAGTGAGACCTTGTCTCTACAAAAAAAATTACAAAATTAGCAGAGCATGGTGGCACATACCTGTGGTCCCAGCCACTTAGGAGGGTGAAGTGGGAGGATCGTTTAAGCCCAGGAGGCAGGGGTTGCAGTGAACTGAGATTGTACCACTGCACTCCAACCTGGATGACAGAGTGAGACGTCAGAAGAGAAAAGAAAACTATTGGTGTAAGGCATACAAGGAAAGCTTCCTTCTAACCAGTCTGAGGGGTCTGAGCTTCATGCCTACACAAGTGTCTTCGGGTTGTATTCAGCTTTCCAGTCTTACAGAGTAACCAAGGCAAAGGCACCTGGAGGAGTGGAGGCGGCCCAGGCAAGGTTAATTTTAGTAAAGGAGATCGAGAAAGACAGAGAATAAGAGACAGAGACAGAGAGACAGGCAGAAATCCTAAACATGAGCCACTTGTCTAAAACGGACGGAGTGTAGATGGATACAGCAGTGAGAATTCTGGTCACCACCAGGACCACGACACACACTTCAGAGGCAGGAGGGAAAGGCTCTCTCAAAGGTGCTTGGCACCCACTGTGCTGGAGCCAACCATTTACTCAACACATAGTTGTTTTTTTTTTTTTTTTTGGAGACAGAGTTTTGCTCTTGTCACCCAGGCTGGAGTACAATGGTGCAATCTCAGCTCACTGCAACCTCCACCTCCCAGGTTCAAGTGATTCTCCTGCCTCAGCCTCCCAAGTAGCTGGGATTACAGGCACCCGCCACCATGCCCAGCTAAGTTTTTTGTATTTTTAGTAGAGACGGGGTTTCGCCATGTTGGTCAGTCTGGTTTCGAACTCCTGACCTCAGGTGATCTACCCGCCTCAGCCTCCCAGTGTGCTGGGATTACAGGCATGAGCCACCATGCCCACCCTCAACATACAGATTTTGAAGGTCGACTTTGCACTAGACAGTACACTAGCTTATATCCTGGTAGGACAATAGAAATATACCTCAATATCTAAGTTTTTATATATGCATATATAATTCATATGCAATTATATAAATACAATACAAGGCATAATATGTAATGAGAAGTAGAAATAAAAAGTATAGAGAAAAGAGAGAGGCCAACTGCACTTTGCAGAAAGCACTGAATGGATGAATACATGAATGGATTCCAGAAATCCAACAAAATATCCTTGGTATAAGGAAACTAAACAATACCAAAGAATATATTGAATTATTTTCCACTTTGTTGAAAATCTATGTGGTTGAAGACACTAAAGTGTATTAATGCCTATATTAAAAGGAAATTACAGATTACTTATTGTGAAGTCATATATTACCTTACAGGATGCTGAAACCCAAAGGCTCCCTTTGATCCAAAAGCGTGTTGGTCAGCCCTAGGTTCAAGCTGTAACGACAGACACATACAAACACAGAGACAGTGCAAGAGCATTGGAAGGTGACATCCTGAGGTTTTAAACCACAGAACATAAGTCGCCTGCAATTGTTCATATCAGTATCAATTGTAGAGCATTTAGACACCTTATCAGTATCCGTTCCTGTTACTGCGGCCCAAAATGTCCCAGGCACTGTGAAGAATTCCGATGAAAGGAGTCAGACACAGTGCCTCGGTCCAGCATTTTACCATCTAATGGACAGAAACTCACATGTGTGCAAATAACCATGCTACAAAGCATCACATGGTGAGACACCCGTGATTCTAAGCATGAAGGAAGATCAGGAACGGGCTCATGGAGGGCCTCGCAGAGACATCTGTGGCATGTGGGTTTGCGATTCTAAGACTATTTTGGCAGAGGAGAGCATCCAATTCAGAGTGGCAGTACCGGGCACGGTAGCTCATGCCTGTAATACCAGCACTTTGGGAGGCTGAGGCAGGTGGATTACCTGAGGTTGGGAGTTCGAGACCAGCCTGACCAACATGGTGAAACCCTGTCTCTATTAAACATACAAAATTTAGCTGGGCGTGGACGTGGTGGTGCGTGCCTGTAATCCCAGCTACTCGGGAGGCTGAGGCACAAGAATCACTTGAACCTGGGAGGCGGAGGTTACAGTGAACCAAGATCCTGCCACTGCACTCCAGCCTGGACGACAGAGCGAGACTCCGTCTCAAAAAAAAAAAAAAAAAAATTCAGAGTGGCAGGAAAATAGAGGGCGCAGGTGGGGAGCGGTGAGGAGCTTGGCGTGGTACAAGTGAGACGCTGTGACGGGCAAAGGGCTCAGACAGTGACATTTGCCTTGAATACCCACTGTTGAGTTTAGGTTTGACTCTGGATACAGGAACTGGAGGTGGATTTTTGAGTCAGGGAGTCCAGCTATCAGATCCGTATTTCAAGGAGAGCAGTGGCCACAGGGAGCTGTGCACAGTGAGGCTGACGTAGAAAGGGCTTGGAGGAACCCAGTCTTGGCAATTGATGGTGAAGAGCTTCTGGATGAGGGCAGGATGTGAACTCAGGCTGGGTGCTGTGGCTCACTCCTGTAATCGCAGCACTTTGGGAGGCCCAGGTGGGCAGATCACTTGAGGTCAAGAGTTCAAGACTAGCCTGGCCAACATGGTGAAGCCCCATCTCTACTAGGTGGCACATGACTGTAATCCCAGCTACTCAGGAGGCTAAGGCAGGAGAATCACTTGAACCCAGGAGGCAGAAGTTGTGGTGAGCCAAGATTGTGCCATTGTACTCCAGCTTGGGCAACAAGAATGAAACTCTGTCTCAAAAAATATAAAAAAAAGAGAGATCGAGACCATCTTGGCCAACATGGTGAAGCCCCATCTCTACTAAAAATACAAAAAAAATTAGCTGGGCATGGTGGCGCGTGCCTGTAGTCCCAGCTACTCGGGTGGCTGAGGCAGGAGAATCACTTAAACCTGGGAAGCAGAGGTTGCAGTGAGCTGAGATCACACCACTGTACTCCAGCCTGGGAGACAGAGCAAGACTCCGCCTCAAAAAAAAAAAAAAAAAAAAAAAAAAAGAAGTATGCCACAAACATCCTGATTGTTTTCCAAAAGGATCCTTTGTTCAGTGAGGGAAATGTCTAAATATTCACATCTTATAATGAAACGCGAGAACAGAAATGTGCACAAGGCAAGCACTGTGTTTAAGGTATGTGCGAATGTGTTTTCCTATGAGCCCGAGGACCGACAGGTGCAGAGAGGCTTTCAGTAGGGGTCAGCCCTCTCCTCCTCGTTTGAGTCTCTGACTGGACTAGGGCTAAGGTGTGGGAGCCTGGCAGATAGGACAGGCCCAGGAGAACAAATAGTCCCTGATGTTTTCCAGGAAACTGCCTCCCTGGCAGTGCCCGCAAGTGGCCAGGAGGGAAACACAACAGAGATCAAAAAAGTGCAGGTAGGGGAGGGAGATAGGTCCCTAGGGGTTGTAGGGGCATGAAGTGGGTGAGGGTGACCCTGCTGCTCACAGCACAGAGCCTTGAGGCCTTCCCTCTACTTGAGGATTTTTTGGGGGTTTTTTGTTGTGGTCGTTTTTGTTTTTGAGACAGGGTCTCATTCTGTCGCCCATACTGGACCGCAGTGTCCCGATTTCAGCTCACTGCAACTTCTGCCTCCCAGGTTCAAGCGATCCTCCTGTCTCAGCCTCCCGAGTAGCTGGGATTATAGGCGCACGCCACCACCACCTGGCTAACTTTTGTATTTTTAGTGGAGACGCGGTTTCACCATGTTCCTCAGGTTAAACTCCTGACCTCAGATGATCCGACCTCCTGGGCCTCCCAAAGTGCTGAGATTACAGGGGTGAGCCACGCGCCTGGCCTACTTGAGGTTTTATTCTAGTTTTGCTTTGCTTGCCAGGAGCCCTGGTACAGGTCACCAGGCGTTAGCCCTCCTCACCGCCACTCCAGCCAATGGTATTTTTGAGAAATACAGAAGAGGGCTTGGGAGCTGGGGAATTATCCTGCTTTGTCGGGCGAGGGCGCTGTTGAGCAGGAGGCGTTCCTTCCCCGCGCTAGGCAGCTCTAGTCGCTGGGCTGTGGGGAACCCAGCGCGGTTGCACAGTACCAGAGCACAGACTGGCGCTGGCTGCTCTGAGCAACCAGCTGGGCCCTGCAAAGAGAGTGCCCCGGGTTGGGGGAGGGCGTGGCGGGCTCTACAGCCCCCAGGGAACACCCACTCTTCCCACACCCACATCCGTGGACAGAACTACTTCAGCGTGACAGACTACCTGCCGATCAGTGAAAAAGTTACTAAAGTTCAACATTTCTCTGCAAGTAAATTTTTCTCACAGACATCCTTATAACAGAAAACAAAACCCAAAACCATCCGTCTTACTTAGGAAGGGTGCTATCATATTTTTATTCCTGCAAACAACTAATAGGTTCCACAACCATTTCATTTAAAAGAAAACTGGATAATTGTAAACATCTGTATTTTCACACAAGCACCTTTAAATTTTATGTTTAAGAACTAAGTTTGAATGCAAAAGAAGGAATTATTTTACATTATTTAGATATATGTATAAAAAATTGGGGACTAAAAATCATATCTCTTGTTAATTGATTTATCTTTTATCTGCTTCCTTCTTTGAAGTAAATTAAAATTCCCAATATTCAGATTAATTTAATAAAGTGGTGTAAATATCAAAATACAGTAGTCTGTTTTCCCACACTCGAGTTTTCTTACCACATTACAAATAACTGCACGTTAGGCCACATAACACGTGTTATGTAAATTAAATACATCGTCTTTCCCAGCCTAATTCTTCAGTGTTTTAAGAGTCATCAAAAAAATTTAAATAAAAGTCATCAATTTATATTTTAAAATATAACAAAGGAAAGGTAAATTCTATGAAAGCAAATCATTACATCAGTAAGTATAAAGCAACTGAGTTACTGATGCAGAGTAACAAAAGAATGGTCGAGGTAATTAATCTTGCCCACAAAGCCCTCTGCTTGAGTGTATTTGCTCAGACAACATGAGATACCCCAGGAGTGCTTGACGGGGCTGAAAGTGCTTCAGAAAAGGCCAGACGCTGCGTGGGGGGCTTTTAACAGCAACTCTGGGCACCTCAGCTGGGGCTCAGTCCTATTTGCTCTGTGGCACCGGCCCAACGCTAATGGTGCACTCAGCTTTTCTCTAAGGCAAGGGATAGTGGCAGCCTTCTCCCCTCCCCTCCCGACCTGTTGCTTTGCAGAAGAAACCCCAACACGGAGGTCATCCCTTATAATTCCCATGAAACGACTATGCCCTTTTTTTTTTTTTTTTTTTTGAGATGAGTCTTGCTCTGTCGCCCACACTGGCACACTGGAGTGCAGTGGCGCGATCTCGGCTCCCTGTAACCTCCGCCTCCCGGGTTCTAACAATTCTCCCGCCTCAGCCTCCAGAGTAGCTGGGATTACAGGTGTGCACCACCACGCCCGGCTAATTTTTGTATTTTTAGTAGAAACAGGGTTTCGCCAAGAACTCCTGACCTCAGGTTATCCACCCGCCTCGGCCTCCCAAAATGCTGAGATTACAGGCCCGAGCCACCGCGCCCGGCCTATGACTATGCTTTTACAGTGGGTTTGCTTTTTTAGGAAGGACAAGCTACCAGGAGCCCAATCTATAATGCGACTCGGGTCTGATTAACACCTTACTCATTCAGGTTCCAACTCCCAGACCCCGAGGCGCTCCTGGGTTAGATGGCCAAGGGAGGGCCCTGCGCAGGAGGGACACGGTCCCTTTATTTTAAAAGACGGTGCCACTTTCTGGCTGGAGGGGTTACCTACAACGCCCGTACTGAACCTTACCGGCCTTCCCGTTCTGGTCAGCTCAGCATCTCCAGGTGTCTGGATCCAAGGTCGCCAGGGCGCGGGGCTGGAACGGCAAGCGCCAGGAGAGAGTGAACCCTGGGCACTTCTGCTGCCTTCACACTATGCCATGAGAGTTAATCTTATTTCCAGGGCCTGCCTGAAAAAGAGGCACCAGACCCCCCCCCCCCCAGGAACTTTCCCTCAAGTTCTCAGGGCTGTGGATAAATTACTGCCATTTGTGTTTTTTTCTCTCCTGCTACGTCCCCAGTTCTCTGCCTCCAGTTAAGCTTTGAGAATGGAAGTCCTGAATCTCACACAATTATCCGGGAACCCGTTAGCTGAGAGAGTTGTCTCCCAGCAAATCCTGGCTGAATTCTTCAATTCGGGGTTCCCCAACTACAGCTGGCGACTTTGTCCCCGGTTAATTTCAATCACGCCACCTCAGTCACTGAAGGAGCTTGATTCTACAGAGATGATTTTACAGAGTTGTAGGATGAAAAACAAACACACAAAAAAAGAGGGCTGGGCGCGGTGGCTCAAGCCTCTAATTCCAGCACTTTGGGAGGCCGAGGTTAGTGGATCACGCGAGGTCAGGAGTTTGGCCAACATGGCGAAACCCCGTCTCTGCTAAAAATACAAAAATCAGCGGGGCGTGGTGGTGGGCGCCTGTAATCCCAGCTACACAGGAGGCTGAGGCAGGAGAATCCCTTGAACCCCGGAGTCGGAGGTTCCCGTGAGCAAGATCATGCCACTGCACTCCAGCCTCGGTGACACAGTGAGACCCTGTCTCAAAAAAAAAAAAAAAAAAAAAAGAGGGAATCTTTCTCCTGCCTGGCTACCTGGCCCACCTGGCCTACTTGGTCCCTTCCCTACCTCCCTGGCTAATCTGATTTCCTACAACGTTACTGTCTTTAAAAGGGCTGGTGCCCAGGGACAGCGAACGCTGAGCCTCCAATCCAGGGACAACAGAAAGGGCTACCGAGAAAGTGTCAAAGTGAGAGACTGCCTTTGCAAGGCTGGCTTAGGAGCCCGAGACTTCAGGTTCCCCGACCGGCGAATTGAGATCTCCTCTACACGGAAGCGTCGGCCCCTTTCCTGGCCAGCTACATCCTGGGCCTCCGCACTTCAGAGCTGTGCGTTGGAACCGGGAGAACTGAGAGCCCCTCCCGGGAACCGGTTGCCGGCTCAGGAGCTTGCTTGGCGTCGCCGTCGAGCTCGGGAGCTCTGCTGGGGATCGGGGTTCAGCGGCGCCCCAGCCTCCCGCTCGCTGCGCTCCCCGCACCGCCACCGCGCGCGCCTCTCCGCGCGTCCACCGGGGCACGGGGCCACCCTCACCTCTCCGGCCCGCGCGGCGGCGGAGGCCTCCAGGGAGCGTCCCCGGGGCAGTGACAGGCGCGCCCCCGCGCCTTCCGGGCTCCGGCCGCAGCCTCGGACTCCATGGTGCCCGCGGAGCCCGCGCCCCCTGCTGCGACGCCGGCCTCCGAGCGCGCCTAGATCCACTCGGGCTAGCGCGCTCACCTACCCGCGCGCCAGGTTTAAAAACGGGGGCGGGGCGGCGCGGGCAACCGCGGGGAGGGGGCAGGACCCGAGGAGCTCCGGGAAGGGTGCTGAGGGGGCCGCAGAGCGCGGAGGGAAAGCCCGGGGCGGAGGAGCGGAGAGGTCCAGGGAAGTTCCGGGAGGGGACCAGGGAGCCGGGGATGGGGAGGGAACGAGAAAAATTCGAGGAGGTGGCGCTGGGTGTCAAAGAGGGGAGTCCGGCAGGCCCGGCCAAGGGTGGGGACGGGACAAAGAAAAGCCGGGGAGGGGGCACCAGGGAAGGGGTGACCAGAGGAGGGAGGTACCAGGGATTGGGACCACGAGCTCGGGCTGGAGACAGCGGGAAGTGACCCAAGAACGCGGGAGAGGAAAGCGAGGCCCGCGGGCGAGGGGCGTTTCCGTCGGGCGGACTCCCTCGGGGACTGGGGGGACCCGCGCTCACCCGCTGGGCTTCCCCTGCCGGATGTGGGATGTGAGGAGTCCCGGCTTCTCCGGCCCTCTGTGGTCCCCGCGGCCTCTGGCTTTGGTCCTGTGCGAGCATCAGGTTCCCTGGGTTTCCGGAGAATCTCGCTTACACTGCCTTAGAGCGGCAACGGGGCTTGGGGGACATCCACTGAATCCTCAGGTCCGCTTGGACCGACCTTGCCTTCGGTGCTGGACAGCGGGCTCCCGGACGCCCCGTCGCCAGGACTCGAACCCGTGGTGAGTGGCGAAGCGGGTGGGGTGGGGCGCGGCGACCCTTCCAGGAGACAGAAGGCCAGGGTTGGAACCGAGCAAGAGGGATGCTACGAGCACACATTTCCCACCGTTGGCGGCCTTGGAAAGTAAGCGAATTTTTAATAAAGCCGGGAGCGGCTGGCTTCTCCTTCGGTTAGCCCCAGTCAGGCTTAGAAAGCGCCTCCCGACCGGCGGGAGCGACCTTGCCCGACCCTGGGGACACTTCCCTCGGCGAGCCTGGGCCGCGGGGGTCGCTGGAGCTCCGCTGCCACCATCACCAGCTCACGGCCAGGGTGGGAGGAAAGCGGTTTCACGTGTAGTGCACTGCAACAGAACGCCAAAGGCGCTGGAGGGCCGCGGGCCTGGACCCCCGGGCTCCTCAGGTGTAGTTACTTTATATACTTTAAGTTACAGTGGTGGATATTAAAAAATCGAAGAACTAGGCCGGGCACGGTGGCTCACACCTGTAATCTCAGTACTTTGGGAGACGGAGGCAGACGGATCCTTTGAAGTCAGGAGTTCGAGATCAGTCTGGCCAATATGGTGAAATCCAGTCTCTGCTAAAAATACAAAAATTAGCTGGGCGTGGTGGCAGGCGCCTGTAATCCCAGCTACTTGGGAGGCTGAGGCAGGAGAATCGCTTGAACCTGGGAGGCGGAGGTTGCAGTAAGCCGAGAGTGTACCACTGCCCTCCAGCCTGGGAGATCAGCGAGATTCCCTTTCAAAAAAAAAAAATCGAAGAACTTCCGCAAGGCGCGGTGGCTTATGCCTGTAATCTCAGCACTTTGGGAGGCCGAGGCGGGTGGAATCACCTGAAGTCCGGGAGTTCGAGACCAGCCTGGCCAACATGATAAAACCCTGAATCTACTAAGAAAAATACAAAAAAAATAGCCGGGCCTGGTGGCGGGCGCCTGTAATCCCAGCTACTCGGGAGGCTGAGGCAGGAGAATCGCTTGAACCCGGGAGGCGGAGGTCACAGTGAGCTGAGATCACACCAGTGCACTCTAGCCTGGGCAACAAGAATGAGACTCTCTCAAAAAAAAAAAAAAAAAACAACTCGAAGAACTTCAGAGATTAAAGTGTTTTCACATTTTTTTTCATTAAGATTCTGAGCTACAATAATTAAATCTAAATAAAGGCAAACATTTAACAGGGGGGAATTAATGGGAGGAAGCTAGAAGGAGGTAAAGGTTAGTGGACCAGGTTGCAACAATTTACCATATTTAATCTAAATGCAGAACAGGGTTTTACAAGAACACTGGGCAGGGCACGGTGGCTCACTCCTGTAATCCATGCACTTTGGGAAGCAGAGCCGGGCAGATCACTTGAGGTCAAGAGTTCCAGACCAGCCTGGCCAATGTGGTGAAACCCTATCTCTACAAAAATACAAAAATTAGCCAGGCATGGTGGAGTGTGCTTGTGGTCCCAGCCACTCAGGAGGCTGAGGTGGGAGGATTACCTGAGCTCGGGGAAGTCAAGGCTGCAGTAAGACATGATCACGCCACTGCAGCCCAGCCTGGGCCACAAAGTGAGACGCTGTTATTTTTCTCAAATATATATATATATATATATATATAAAATTTTTTAAAAAAGAAAATGAAAGAACATTGGGCAACCGGGTGCAGAAGGGGTGTTTTCATTGTGTTTGTTTTTTGAGACAGAGTCTTGCTCTGTTGCCCAGGCTGGAGTACAGTGGCATGATCACTGCTCACTGCAACCTTGACCTTCCAGGTTCAAATGATCCTCCCACCTCAGCCTCCCAAGTAGCTAGGACTACAGGTGTGCACCACTACGCCTGGCTTAGTGTGAATGTTTTTAAACAAGTGTCTTCTAGGTAGCTGGTGGCAATGCAATGAAAAAGTTTCATAAGGTGCATCATGTGCCATAAAAATATTCACCCAGGCCGGGTGTGGTGATACATGCCTGTGGTCCCAGCTACGCAGGAGGCTGAGGTGGGAAGACTGTTTGAGCCCAGGAGTTGCAGGCTGCAGTGAGCCATGATCATGCCACTGCACTCCAGCCTGGGCAACAGAGCAAGATCCTAAGATCCTATCTCAAAAAAAGCACAACGAAAATGAAAGTTCACCTTTTGTCCCAGTAATTCTACTTGTGTCTATACTATAGAAGTATTTTGAAATGGGAATGAAGATGTATTTAATCAGAGAGCGCTGCTTACACTGTTGAAAAACTACGTCCAAAAATATGGCAATGATTAAATAAATGATGGTAGAATAGTATGCAGCTAATAAAGATATGTTTACAGAGTTTTGAACAGCATGGGGAAAAACGCGACACAATGTGAAAAGAACGAAACTGTGTGCCTAGGATGTGAACTATATTCAAAGGCTACAAATACAGCAGAAGGACCTCCTGAGTGCTGACATTACTAAAGATTTGGAGGGGCTTTAAAACTTGTTTTCTAAATTTTCAACAATGAATATATTACTTTTTATTATGGTAAAAGGTACATAACATAAAATTTACCATTTTAACCATTTTCAAATGTACAATTCAGTGGCAGTAAGTCCACTCACATCGTTGTGCATCTCCAATCCCCCCATCTCCAGAACTTTTTCATCATCCCAAACCAAAACTCCGTACCCGTGAAACAGTAACTCCTCATTCCCCACCCCCTGCCATTGGTAACCACCATCCCGCTTTCTGTATCTATGCATTTGACCATTCCAGGCACCTCACAGAAGTAAAATCATTTGGTCTTTTCTGGAGCATACATTAATTTATAATCCTCTCTCAAATCCTGCAAATCAGGCATTATCCTCAGTTTACTAAGAAACGAGTTCGCAGAGGTTAAGTAACTGGTACAAAGAAGCAGGACTTGAGTTCCTGTCAGGTACCTGGGCTGTAGAAAGTGAATGCCACGGCCTGGCGCCATGACTCACCCCTGTAATGCCAGCACTTTGGAAGTCCAAGGTGGGTGGATCGTGAAGTCAGGAGTTCAAGACCAGCCTGGCCAACACAGTGAAACCCCATCTCTACTAAAAACAAAAAAATTACCTGGGTGTAGTGGCACACACCTGTAGTCCCAGCTACTCAGAGGGCTGAGGCAGGAGGATCCCTTGAACCCAGGAGGCGGAGGTTGCAGTGAGCCGAGACTGCACCATTGCCCTCCAGCCTGGGCGACAGAGTGAGACTCCATCTCAAAAAAAAAAAAAAAAGACAAGAAAAGAAAAAGAAAAAAAAGAAAGTGAGCACCACTAAAAATAAATTTGAGGGGCTAGGCGTGTCACGCCAGTAATCCCAGCACTTTGGGAGGCTGAGGCAGGTGGATCACATTAGGTCAGGAGTTTGAGACCAGCCCAGGCCAACATGGTGAAACCCCATCACTACTAAAAAAAAAAAATACAAAAAATTAGCCGGGCGTGGTGGTGGGCACTTGTAATCCTAGCTACTCCGGAGGCTGAGGCAAGAGAATTGCTCGAACCTGGGAGATGGAAGTTGCAGTGAGCCAAGACTGCGCCACTATACACCAGCCCAAATGACAGAGCGAGACTCTGTCTCAGAAAAATAAATATAAAATAAAATAAAAATAAATTTAAAGAGCAAAAAGACCAAACTCAGCACCTGCAGGCAGTAGACACTCTATTTTCTCTTATTTTTTTTTTTTCCTTCGGCCAAGTACGATATAAGACCACCATGACCAAAGCTGGGACAATTTTAGCAACAAAATAAAGTAGTATCTGTTTATAACGCGAGGTATAAAATAAATATTCTTGAGATTATATTGATATCAGTAAATATTGAATAAATGAAAATATGGGGAGAATAGACAAATTTTCTTAGTAGAAGAATTGCAAATAATTTATGTGGATAATCTGTCCTCGGGGAGGTAGAATGTAGCTACATAAACCATAATTAAAATCCATAACTATGCATGTTTTTGTTGAAAATGTATTTAATGAAAAATAAATTTACTGGTAATGTAAAAAGAGGGTTTTTTGTTTGTTTGTTTTTTAGTTTTTCTTTCTGCAGGTGGAGGAATTAAAATACAGCGAATGAAATAAAATTGCCATTGAGGTAGTTGGGAATTCAAAAACCTTTTGTGTTACCAGGTATTTTCAACTATTTCTTAAACTTTATTTGGGTCCATGGAAGACCTTTATGATAGAGGAAGTAATTTGGGGAAGGGGCAGAAATCTAAAGAAACTTAATTAGGCCCCTGGCTTATAAACTGGGAAAAACTGCTGAAGGTCAGTGTGTGAAACCCTCCCTTCCCAGGAGTTAAATAAAATGGAGATTCTATTTCTTTCCCTGCTGTCTTTAATTAAAAATTCTTCTTCATATGCTGACTCTCCCTTGTTGCCTGGAAACAAAAAGTCAAGATGTCAGCCCTGAAGTTTTCCGGTCTGCCTAGGAGGAGGATCCTGAAACTCAGAACATCTAAGAGGTCAGAATATTTTTACATAAACAGTGCTGAAGACAAGCAGGGAAATGGTAATTTCCTTTTCTTCTGTTTAGTCAGACTGTATTTCCTGCTATCTGCTCCTAAGTGTTCTGCAACTCTCAAAGCTCTTTTAGAAGCTACAAGAGGTTGTTATTGCTTTTGATGTTATTTTCTAAAACATTTAAGACCAAAAAAGGATATTTGTATATTTGTTCCGTGGAAATAAGAGATATATTTGTTTTGGGATTTTTTTTTTTTTAAGTTTTTTATTTGTTTGTTTTGTTTTGTTTTGTTTGAGATGGAGTCTCATTCTGTCACTCAGGCGGGAGTGCAGTGGCACGATCTCGGCTCACGGCAACCTCTGCCTCCCGGGTTCAAGCAATTCTTGTACCTCAGCCTCCCGAGTAGCTGGGATTACAGGGGT